CACCCTTTTGGGGTGACCCTGCCTCCTACCCCACTGCTTGGGGGATTTTTGGGGACCCCCCACAGCCCCAGGAGTGGTTTCGGGGTGCTGGTCCGTGCAGGACGTGGCCGGGTCCCCAGCCGCCTCCTCCAGCCCCGCGGCCGGTTTGGTTTCTGTTGCTTATCTCCGCTCGTGCAGTGACTTGTCCCTCTGCTCTCGTTTGCAGAAAACCTTCACCCCCAACATAATTAGCAGGAAGATCAAGGAAGAGTAAGTGGCCTCGTAAGCATTTCTGTGGGGTGCGGAGGTGGTTTTGCCGGCTGGTACCTGCGCAGTGGGGTCTCGGTGGGCAAAACGTGCCCCGAGAGGGGAACCCACTGCTGGGGTGGGGGTGACGGGTCACCTCCCCGCTCCCCAGGCCCAGAGAGGATGTCTCCGTCAAGAAGGAAAAGAAGGAGCGGGACCGGGACCGGCAGCGCGATGGGCATGGCCGGGGCCGGGGCCGGCCCGAGGTTATTCAGTCCCACTCCATCTTTGAGCAGGGTCCTGCTGAAATGATGAAGAAGAAAGGTAACGAGAGCTGCCTCCCTTCCCTGGGGGGGGGTCTCCAGCCCGTTCTGTCAGGCTCAGGGCTCACCCCAGGGCTGCTCCCCTCTCCCCAGCAGGCTCCTGGGACAAGACGGTGGACATGTCAGACTTTGGCCCTTCCCATATCATCAACATCAAGAAGGAGAAGAGGGAGACGGACGAGGAGACGAAGCAGATCCTGCGGATGCTGCAGAAGGACGATGTGAGTGGGGCCAGGTGGGGTGGCTTTGGTGTCACCGGGCTCGTGCTTAGTGTCCCCTCTCCCATCCCCGCAGTTCCTCGACGATCCGGGGCTGAAGAACGACATCCGTAACAAGCCGGTGCAGCTGCCGCTGGCCCATTCGGGCTGGCTCTTCAAGGAGGAGGCAGCGGAGCAGGAGGACACCCAGCCTTGGCTGCCTGGCCCCAAAGAAGAGAAGATGGAGCTGGACCTGCCAGCGGTGAAAGGTACACTGAGGTGGGGGGCATCCCAGCAGGCAGAGGCTGTGGGGGGCTTCCCCCCACACTTCCCTGTGCCCACCTACCACCTCTCAACACCTCCGTTGCCCGTGAAAGAAGAGCCGTGCGATGAGGACCCCCTGCCCAAGCCGGCGCAAACCAAGGGACCCCCTGGTTTCCCCCGGGACATTTCGGTGGCCGAGCTGCTGCAGCGGCTGAGCCTGTCGGCCGAGGAGGAGCTGCTCTTCCTGCAGCTGCCCGACACGCTGCCCGGCCAGCCGCCCACCCAGGACACCAAACCCATCAAGACAGAGCTGCAAAACGAGGAAGGACAAGTTGTCGTGGTGAAGCAGGAGAAGAGCCAGGTAGGGGGCTCAATGAGGGGGCAGCGGGGTGGGATGGGGGACAGCTTGCTGATGTTCCCCCACCCCATTCCACGGTATCCCTTGGCAGGAGGCGAGGCAGGCAGAGAATACCTGCACCCTGGCCGACCTCCCCGAGGGGCAGGTGGGGAAACTGCTCATCCGCAAGTCGGGGAAGGTGCAGCTGGTGCTGGGCAAGGTGACCCTGGACGTGACCATGGGGACCCCCTGTTCCTTTCTGCAGGTATGGGGGCTGAGGAGGGGGGTGCTGGGGACCCGATTTGTGGGGCTGCACCCCAAGATAGCCCCTTGGGGTCCCTGCTGGGGTCATGCTGGCCCCTGGTGAGATGGCTCTTGGGCAGCCTATCCCTCTGACAGTGGTGGGGAAGGATCCCCACTGTTCTTGTCCCCAGAGTGAGGGTAGCAGCGGGGCACATCTCCTCCAGGCTTAGCCCCCCACAGCAGGCAGGCACCTCGCCCCTTCTCCCACCACAGTTAACGGGTTTCTGGTGGGAGTGGGCTGCTCACGGGTGTTTCTCCCCTCTGGAAAAGGAGCTGGTGTCCGTCGGCATCGGGGACAACCGGACGGGCGAGATGATCGTCCTGGGCCACGTGAAGCACAAGCTGGTGTGTTCTCCGGACTTTGAGGCTCTGCTGGAGCACCGGCACCGGTAGCCCAGGGGGAGCTGGGGGGACCCCAGCCCCACACCCACAGGCCGTGGGGACGGTCCTTGCACAGCTTGGGGACCCTGTGGCACCCTGGCTCTGCCCTCAGCCTCTCCAGCCTTGCTTTTGGGACATGGAGAGGTGTCTTCTGCAGGTGTGGGTGCAGGACCGGCTCCTACCTCCTTCCTAACCCTGCAGTGGAGCAGTAGCGAGGGTGGGGGCTCTGGCTTTACGCCCCAGACCCGCTGCCCACCCTGTGCAAAACAGGCAGGGTTGTTGCTGCCTACATCTCACAGATTTCTGGATGTGTGGGACCGTGGTGTCCCCCCTTGGCTCTCCAGCACCCATGCACATGCTGGGGAGTGCAGGACGCATACTTGGGGGAGAAATGCGGAATAAAAACCTCTTTTTCCCCCTGCTGTGGGGCTGCTCAGTCTCCTCCGCGGCGCCTCCACCCCGTGTGCCTGCCCCACCAGTTGCCGTCTTGTCAGGCACCTTGGCCCCAGCACAGCACGCTCAGTGCTGGCAGACGGGGCCACGTCCTTAACCACTTACTCGCCGCTCCCTTGGGAGAGCCGGGGGACCCCCTGCATGCTGCCAGGTCTCAGTGGGCAGAACCCCAGCCTGTGCCGGTGTGTGGGGGCTGAGCACCCCCGGGGAGCAGGCAGCCGGGAGCATCTTCCCTGCTCCACGCTGAGGAAGCAGGATGGAGGCAGCAGGGTCTGTGAGACCCCCCCTGGGGACCAGCATTGGCCCTGGGCAATGCTGCAGCATGGCGGGGGGGAGGGTGGCTAGTGAGTGGCCACCACCGCATCCCCATCCTGGGGGCTGCGTGTCTTGGGGGGGGTAAACAGCATCACCCAACCACCTCCCATCATGGAGCCAAACCCTCCCTCGATCCCCGCCTCGGCGGGCAGGGCAGCACCACTTTCCTGCGGTTCCGGCAAACCCCCCT